CAGTTGGTTTCATTTTCAATAGGGCTCGGCGCGGCTGCTGCCCCTTGTCTCCCTGGTCCCGGCGCAGCGGCCGCTTCCCGTCCTCCTGGTTCCCCTTGGGGGGCAACCAGCGGGGCGACTGGTGGGGCTGCCGCTGCGGGTAGGGCCTGGGGTGCGAGGGGAGGGGGATGATAGGGTGGAGGGTCTAGGGATAGTAGGTCCTGACTGTCGGGCAATATGGGACATAGGGGCGCCGAGGGGGTCCGCGGCTTGGTTGGGTCCATGGAGTGGGCCGCAAGAATCTTACAGGACCCTGAGGAGAAGAAGGGGGACATCCAGGGTGGAGGGTTTTCAACAAGATCCTGCCAGACGAGGATATAGGGAACCTGGTCTGGGTGGCCTTCCTTTCCTGGCAGGAGGGTTCTGGCCTTGACCTTAGCAATTATAGGCAAACAAAAAGTGCCCTCGGTAGGCCAGCCCACCCCGAAAGTGGGCCACTCAGACAGGCAGAAAGTGATAAGTCTCGGCTGGCGGATGTCCAGGCTTAGGTTATGGCCTCTAGTCTGGACATCCGTGAAATTAGCCAGAAGAAGGGAGAGAGGTGTACTCTGGTTCTGTCCCATAGTCTGTATAGGAAGAAATAGATGGGTTAAGTTAGTTTATGTTCCGGGAGTGAGCCGGATATACCCGCAGAGGAGAGGAGACACGTTAAATCGCAAGCGCGGTGGCAAACAGAAAGTGCCCTGGTGAAGAGACCAGATACGGAACGGGTGTCTGTAACCCGAACAAAAAGTTCCAATGGGCCAAAATGGTGCCCCAGACGGGTTCCAGAGGACATCTCCTACTGGTCTCGACTGACTGCCCTATAGCGCGTCCGCCAGGGCTGTGTCAGTCACTGATACAGATCCCGCGCGGGAGAGCCAGAAATGAACAAACAGAAACGGACAGAGCCGGCTCACTTACCGATCGGTCTCAGGAATGACCCGTTGACTTGGGGGTCTGGTGGGTTTGGGGGTATCCAGGACGAGCCCCCAAATGTAACGCCCAAAGTTCGAGACACCCCAAAAACGAACCACCAGAGTCCAGAGCCAAAGCCAAGCGGCAACATCCAGTTGGTTGACTTTTCATTTTGATGAAATGACCCAGAATTTATTTGCATGTGATTTGAGGCAAGGACTCGATTTTGTGGAAAAGTAATTATCTCATCATTATTTACAGAAACTCATTTTCTCCACTATCCTCAAAGCCATTTTTGTCATATGAACATGGTCTGTTTCTTGACACCATCCTATCCCCCTAACTAGTTTTTTTTTTTTTTTTTTTTTTTTTTTTTTTTTTTTTTTTTTTTTTTTTTTTTTTTTTTTAATGCAAGGTCTTCTTTAATAACAATTTTAAATTCAGCAATAATGGTAAATTCTTTCAGTAGCTTAATAATTAACCTGTAGTGTCTCTTGTGTTTCCTAGATGAAAAATCATGTTACTTGAGTATAGCTAGTGTTTGGTGTCTTTTCTTTTTCTTTTTTAATTTATGCTTTGTTTGATATCCAAGTCTCTGAATAATATGTGTGTTTTTACTAAGCTGTCTGGTTTTTGTGTTCCCCATTGGCTCTAAAAATCAGTATCTTTTTTCTCTTCTGGTTTGTGAGTTTTTCTTTCTTTTCTTTCTTTTTTTCTTTACGTTTATTTATTTTTGTGAGAGAGCGAGATCAGCAGCACGAGCAAGGGAGGAGCAGAGACTGAGGGAGGGAAAGTCTCAAGCAGGATCCCCACTGTCAGCACAGAGCCCGATGCAGGGCTCTAACTCAGGAACTGTGAGATCATACCTGAGCCAAAATCAAAAGTCAGTTGCATAACCAACTGAGCCACACAGGTGCCCCATCGTTCATGAGTCTCATGGGACGTTCTTATTCCTTGGAATTTTTTTTTTTTTTTCTGTGAAGACTCTTTGAAACCTGGCTTGAAGACAGGCTTCCCCAAATCAGATCTTAATTTGCTTTTTCTTAGGTTCCTAGGACACTATAAAGTAGAGATACTTTAAACTGAAATCTCAGCTTGAGTTTTCGTTTATTTAGTATTTTTTAGACCAGTTAGGATAAACATATTCCATTGGAGAACTGACCTGTGGTTATGAATTATCACAGAAGTTTTATTTTGTCTCAGATCTGCTTTCAGCACTTAGATTCTTAAAGAAGCAGGCTTATTTCTTGTTCCTTTTCATGTAAGCTATGGGTTTTTAGTGTCCCAGCTATAGGAATGAGTTTGTCTGCTATTAGATTCTCTTCTGTGGAAAGGGCGGCTCTTGGGCTTCTTCTCTTTGTCCTTCTCCCTATATCTTGGGAACAAAAAGTAAAATTTAAGATCACTCTTAGCAAATGCCCTTAAGGGTGAGTTGTTTTTAATATCTTAGCAGCTCAACATTGACTTTTAAAGGCTTTTAAAATATTTTATCAAACGTTTTTATTTTTTATTTATTTTTAATTTTTTTAATGTTTATTTATTATTGAGAGACAGAGAGACACAGAGCGTGAGCAGGGGAGGGGCAGAGAGAGAGGGAGACACAGAATCCAAAGCAGGCTCCAGGCTCTGAGCTGTCAGTACAGAGCCCAACGTGGGGCTCGAACTCACAAACTGTGAGATCATGACCTGAGCCTAAGTCGGTTGCTCAACCAACTGAGCACCCAGGTGCCCCTTTTTTAATTTTTTTTCAATCAGGAAGTCATTTAATGTAGTCACTCTCCCAAGCTGCAGAAAATGGATCTGCTTAATCTTTACATGACTAAATTCTGTATTTCAGAAGTTAGGAAAATTATTAATTTTCAAATATTACTTTTAAGATTAAGATTAGGAGTTGGAAATTCTTATAAAAATTAACAGAATTAAATATATATTTGCTTCTCAGCCTATTAGCTAGGAAGATAATCATACCTGATTCAAAAATAAATATATTTTCACTTTATATAAACTTGCTATTTTTGATGCATAATGACACAAATGTAGAAGACAAAAAATGCCAGAAGCTGTTTAAAAATGCAGATGAAAGAATTAATATTTTTGGCACAAGGACACATTTTCTATCATGATCTGATTCAATGAGTATGAACCTAGTTGTGCTCTATTCTTTCCTTCTCTAGAAAAACCATTCAGATTCTAAAGTGGTATGAAAGAGGAAAAAAATTGTAAAATATCTCTTAGAACATCTTTATCCTTTCCATCTACATTTACATTTCCCATCAGTCCTTTATATTTCCTAATGACTATAATAATGAATATTTAATCTCAGTATGTACTCTGAACTGTAATCTCATAAAACTTAATAGCATGTCAGGTTTTAAATGCAGTCTTTGGGTCTTGATGATGCATACCTTCTTTCCTTAAGCTTCTGCCTGGCACTTTTGCCCAGTTTACCACTATTGAGGCAAAGAACCTATCTGTGGATTGTCTATATTATGTACATAATACTTTGACCCTAAAAACAAAGGGATTTGCTGAGGATTTCTAGCTGATATTTCCTTCTAATTCTACTTGAAATGTGTGGATTTCATAGAAACACAGCACAAGTGAATCTCGACAGAAAATGCATAAAGATTTTACTTGATCAAACCACTCATTATGGTCCAGAATGGCCCACATATTCCTGCCATGGGGACAAATTATCTTTAATATTGATTTCATTTAAAAACTTATACTAAAGATCCACTTAAATATTAGTATTTCTTTATAATTTCACCCTTTCATTTTTTGATCTCTAATATAAATTTGGGGGAGGCAAAGTTGTTGATGAAAAATATTGCTTAAGTTTTAATATGATCTTTGAATTTGAGTTCCCTGCAAGGGAAAAAAAAGATTTAAAAAAATAGACCGAAGACCAAAATTCAGGTTAGAGTTTAGTAATAAAATGTTCATCTTACATATTTTTCAAAGAAAAGGAAATATAAATTGAGAAAATTAAAACAGCACATATATAAGCTGCTTGACAGATTTCAGTATCTCAAGGAAGGTGACAGCAGCAATGTCACATTTCAAATAAACAGTTTTATGAAATCGTAAAGCTTTTAAAGGAATTATTTAAAATAATGAAGCAAACCCAGTGCCCGATGTATCAAACACATTCTTGGTGGTGATAAGTAAAATTTCTGTGAATATGTACAATGGGTCAAAGTACCAAAATAAAAAATGATAATAATTCTGCCAAAAAATTCTTCATATGAAAGCATATTTTAATATATGGCAGTTAACAACATCATACTTCACAGAGAATTTTGTTGTTGTTGTTAACTGGATTTTATTGGAATTCATGAAGGCACAGATTACTAAAAACTAAATTGAATGCATGTGCTTTTCTGGAAGCAAACTCATCTGTGAAGCTGATTGGAAATGCAGTTGAGTGTCATATCTAAATGTGCTATAGGGGCGTATGGTAGAAATTATAATCCTGCTGGGGATGCAGCCTATTATCTTATTACAGTTACAAATATAGTAAACAATAAATTCATTATTATTACCAGATTTGAACTGAAGTAAATCTCTATTGTTGCATGATAAAACCATGCAGCATAAATCAACCATGCTAGCTCTTATAATACTTTTTTCTAATGAAATATCTTGAATTGCATTCACATCAAACTGGAAACTACACTTAAACTGTTATTGACTATGGCTCCTCTGAGGACAATAATGAAGTGTTACCATTGTTTCCCATTTCAAAAAAGAAAATAAATTGAAGGTCACGAATAAAATTTCTTTTCAGTTTTTGGCAAAATGGGTATAGAATTTAAAATATCACAGAAGCAGGGTAATAGTTTCATTTTTACGCTGAAGTGGAAAGTGTTCTCAATATTCCACATTCTACCAAATGTAATCTCCTTGTGGGCGCCTGGATGGGTCAGTCGGTTAAGCGTCTGACTTCAGCTCAAGTCATGATCTCACAGTTCATGGATTTGAGCCCCATGTAGGGCCCTGTGCTGACAGCTCAGAGCCTGGAGCCTGCTTCAGATTCTGTGTCTGACTCTTTCTCTGCCCCTCCCTCTCTCTCTCTCTCTCTCTCTCTCTCTCTCTCAAAACTAAATAAACATTAAAAAAGAAAAACAAACAGTACAGTGGTCTGTCTAGAGTTAAAATTTAGTTTCCTAGGTAAAAACTAAACAACCATATAACTCTCTCAGGCTATCTTCAATAGGTGAATGTCTACTCACCTGCACTGCTTATGGGTCTATTCTCTTTATGATCTTTAGGTAAGAGGGTTTTGGCAATCAAAGACCAGGTTTTTAAATTTCTCTTGTCACCTGTCGCTGTGTACAAAAACACCCCAGAATTTAGTGTCTTAAGACAACAATAATTTTATTTATTTGTTCACAATCCTGTAACTTGGCCAGGGCTATAGGGGAACAGATTATCTCCCCTTTACTTGGCATCAGTTAGGCTAATTTGACTGGTGCCAGGCTCAACTCCTAGATACCCTCAGTTATAAGGTGAGGGCAAAGTGAAACTGTCTCTTGGTTAGAAGCTCAGCTAAAGCTATTAACTGAGGCTTGTATTCTCCTCCATGAGCTCTCTCCATGTGATTAGGCTGGGCTTTTCACAGCATCATCGTCTTAGAGTAGTTGAATTTTGTGCATGATGGTGC